CGAAACTATCAAAATAATGTAGTTGCACCACATCCCATCGAAATTGAAGATGAGCCAAAAGTACTTGGAGCTGGCATCGTGGATGGTACTAAATCATAGGTGGCATCCACGAGCGATACTACCAGCTTCATTGATGTCTTCGACGACATGGGAGAGAGAGAGAGAGAGAGCCAATTTTGCTATATTCAAGCTCAAATACCTCACTAGCATACCAACTCTTGTCTCTCAAGGCATTAATGAAGTTGGTGGTCTCGCTTGTCGATCCCACCTATGATTTTGCTCAATCCACGATGCCAACTCCAAGTACTTTTGGCTCATCTTCAATTTTCGGTGTGATGCGGTGCAACAACATTATATTCATAGTTTCATCAATATTAATCTCCAAAGGTTGATCATCCTTATCATTCTCACCTGCCTCTATATCACTTTCAACACTCTCTTCCTTCTTATCATTCTTTGTCCTCCGATCATGAGTTGTGTCAACTTCCGTTGCTCTTATTATAATCATCAATTGGATCAATATGAGTAAGAGATATTCCCTAATGGAGGAACAACAATGTTTGCAATGTTAATTTCTTTTTGTGTAACTATTGCATCATGTAGTATTTCCGCCAAAAGAAAGAAGTAATTGAGTAAGTAACTTGTTATTGTTGAATCAATCTCTTTTAAATAATATCTATATATGTAGGTCAATGAGATTGATAATTACCAAATGGGTTTCTTCGTAGTTTCTCTCTCTTCCCACCGACTTTGCCGTGGAAGAAGAGTTGGATGACATTGACGACTCAATTATGTCATTTTTGTTTTCATTTCTCTTTCATTCCATCCTTTTTGGCGGGGTTGGAGAGGAGGAGCATGCTAATGTGATTGCTTTAGTCTTGCTAATACTCCTCTTTAGATGAAGCGAACAAACGCTATTTATCATGAAGTCAATCACTTCAACTTTTGATTTGAACCGACCTCCTGAAGGTTTGTGATAATAATACTGTCTGCACATATGCAAAATTAAATAGTGTGAAGTGAGATATACCACGAATCATAAGCAGATAAGTGAAGTATAAGATAACTAGAAATTTATTGACCGAACAATGAAACCAAGTTACTTGAAGCTACATGAATCTCAACAGTTGGGTAAAATGCAAATACAGTTCAAATTAGAGGGAGTTGGAATAAAGAAAGGGATGTGAGTTGGATGGTTTACGATAGAGAAACTTCATCCAGATCCTCCTTTTTTCTATGTGTAATAAAGTTATCAGTTGACACTTTTAATCAACAAGGGGAACTCTGAAGGAAACATTCACGGAAGGAATCGGTATCTAGCAAAACTTTAGTTTTTTTGCTTGCTATTCGATATAAATACAACATTCAAGTAGAAAATCTTTAAGTAAATGATATCTAGCTAGCATAATTGGCAAAATAGGTATCTAGATTTATAACCTTTAATCGGTAACAAAGAACCAGGTTGAAATGATTGAACTGATAGCAATTAGAAAACGAGAAAAGTGACTAAATTTTGACAGAAGACGATTTGAGACAAAATGACTCAGAGATAAGTTGGATTACAGTAGTAACAACCTTTTAAAGTCACCTAAAACAACGCCAAAGAAAAAAGGGATGGACTCACAGAGCCTTACAAGCACCAGGAACATGGAATTTCAAATGCAACTTAGGCAACCAATATCTAGCATGCATATTGAAATTACCAGCCTCCAAAGCGAGTTCGAATTTCTCCTTAGCAGACTGATAATCAATCAAAAGCAACTCTTAAACAATCAAAGCTAACATAGAATCACCAATCCCTACACACACAAAACTAGTTCATGGCGACAAACGAAGAACCTTACTCTAATGTGTGGGATGAGGCGATGATCTTTCAACTCGCAGTGGTCTATGACTCGATCAACTTCCTTCAATGCGTTCTAACCTTTGGTTATGAACTCCATCGCCTTCTTGTTGGTGGTGTGAATCTCCCTATGCATAAAGCAGCAAAAAAAAATTGTTGGCTTTCGGGGAAGAAATGAAATAATGAGAGAGAGGAGTTAAATTTTGCTTAAATGAGGAGTGTGAGATTGGAGACGATGGAGAGTCTTGAACCGCGATTGTGCCGTGAAGAGATGACCCGTCGCCGGCGGAGAAGAGGAAAGGAGGTTCTTCTCTTGGATTGTTAAGCGTCGGCCTAGGTTTATTGAAATCGGTCTAATTTGATATATATGATTGTATGAAGAAGAGAACTAAAATATTAGATTAGAAAATATAGATATTAAAAATAATAAAACAAGAGCACCTTCTATGTTACTGCTTTCACCCATTGTCACCGGGAGTCAACCACAGATCACCAACAACAACAGTGAATTTAAACAATGACGAAGTAGAGAACTGGAAAATAGCGGCGGCGGAAGAGAAAAAAGGAAAAGGATTTTAGGGTTGAAGGAAGATGGAGTGAGGCGGTTTGCTAGGGTGTGTATTTATTATTTTTACGAAGGACAATTTAGTCATTTGAACTCTTAATTTAAAGCAAATATAGTATAACACAGGTGTCATTTAGTCTGTGGTGGACCCACGACCAACCCAACCTTTTAAAATAAGGGATCCAGTAGAAGTGAGTGAATGCGGGTGTATTGTGGTGGACCCACGACCAACCCAACCTTTTAACCCAAAACTAGCAAAACTCGTGCGCAGCCTACTTACTTAACCAAAAAATAAAACCCACAAAAGTCATAACAAGTTTCCCTTATCAAAAGATCTCCAATATCTTTGTCGATCTTTCTTCCCATTTTGAAATATATATTTTCAATATCAAAGTCAAATTTACATACATGATACATCGCCCTATGATTTCTCTGCTTCTCAATTCAAAGTGATGTAAACTTAGTTTTCTGCTTTGGCAAAAAGGATAAACAATGACAGCTCCGTGAACATTATTATATAGTGTTGTAAACCTAATTTTTTTTGCTTTTATCGAATAACAAACAATCATCGAACGATAGTTTTGCTCGTACGATATATATACATTGTCACTACTGTTTATATTCATCTCAACTCAAATTGTCACAACTGTTAAGGAACATTATTAGATAGATTGTGTTAACATTGGTGACTCGTCCTAGGGCCCTAATCCATTAAAGAACAAAGAAATTGTCAAGAAATTGTATTTTACGACAAGCTATTTTGCTTATTAAAACCATGTATATGCTCAGTTGCTCACCCATACTTTGTGGGCTTCTAAAGTGGACCCGATCCCAACGTTTGGTGAAAACGTGTCGAGCCTATCTCCTCGATGGAAGGAACTTAATTGGGCTAAGAGCCCATCACGACCCAATCAGAAAACCGAGCATCCAGATTTAGATCACCTAACTCGCGTGAACTGCTCCAGCACTCACGCGCTAGTTCGCCAAAACGCGATTTTTCTATACAAAGTTTCAAATTCGCGAATTTTATATCAATAGAGAACGAATTCTAGAATTAAGAGCGCCGATCCCACTTGTCTTGTTAGCGACGATGCTGGTAAATCGGCAAACGCGCATTATTTTTCTATGAAATTAGGAGAGGAAGAAGGCAAGACATCCTCCCGCCGAAGAGTGTTGCTGCTGCACAATACATTGAAGACTCATCATATCTAGACTACATTCGTTGGGATTCGCCAGTTTATCAATTTAACGGAGCAAATATTGTCGCCGCTGCTGGCCGGAAATCCATAGTCCAGCCTCTGTTTGTCTCTCTGGCAGTGTTACCCAGAGGAATTAGGGAAGGTGAAGAAAAAGCAACAAGGAGAGTAGTTGATACATGATTCTGACGGTGACTCCTACAAAGAGCCAGGATGAACTAGCTTCCATGGTCGCGGTTGTGGCGTAGGAAAAGAGACGGCAACATCAGGCGGTTAAGAGGAGCTAAAGCGGTGGAGGAAGGGAGTTACGGGTTGGAAATTGAAGAGGAATCCAAGGTTGGCGGTTAATTAGGGAGAGAGACCGAACGGCAGCAACAAAGGAAGGTGAATCAAAAGTGGAGAAATCAAGAACACCGTTGGAGGGATGATGGTATCGGCAACGGTGGCAGATGAGCTAAAAGAGATATAATTGTACTATTTTAAAGAGATTTGCTTCACTATGAATGATTTTTTTTATTGGAAGTGATAAGATTTTGTTAGGTAAACGATTGCCCCTAGTGTGATTATTTTATTACTTATTAGTCATTACTATAATATTACTAATCAATTGATAAATAGCTAGGCTCTTTGAAATTGATAATATTTGGCAAAAATTTATTTAAAAAAAATTATAAAAAATTAAATTTAATATTAACGCTCTGTTCAAGCTCTCAAAATTGAACTATTGAAAAATTGACGTTTTGATGCTTCCGCTCCCGCTGTACGCTCTGGTTACCTAAATCAAGACCCACCAGAAACCTAAACTCGTTCTTTCTTTCACATTCTCGTGCTGCTCACCCGGTTTAACTGGAACGAAATGAATCACTCATGCCCGCCCTCTTGAAAAATCGGGAAGTTCCCTCTAACAAGGCACCCGCAAGAAAACTGACCGCTGTAAAAAGACGACGGAAAAGGGGAGCTCCGAAGAAGATAAGTACTGCCATGGAAGTCGTCAACCGCGAAGCTCGAGCCAATGGTTGTTGCTACTCAGACGAGATTCAGTCTTCTTCTTGCACCGTCGACCCCAGCTCAGCATCTCCGATACATCTCCTCGCTTCATGTACGTTCCCCTTCCCTTCCCCTGCCCGTTGTGTGGAAACAAATTTTATTCTAGCTTTAGATTGAATTCGGCGACTCCGAGCGCGTTTGGTGTGTGTTGTTTTTGGTTGTCGGGAAAATGTTTGAGAGTGTCGTCGTTCTAGGCGGTGCATCGTACCTAATTATGGCTAGTTTAATTCTGTTTCGAGTACGCTGAAATTTGCGAGAAGAAGTAAGAACACCACAACTACTATTTCCCCTAATTATTGAGCTCGAGCTATCTTTTCTTCTTCTTCTTATTGTTACTCTTTTTTTGGAGGTTGGCAATGGATTATGCAAGGATTTATTTAAGAAATGGTCCGCATTGGATCAATCTTGCTTCATAGTTGAGAGAGTTTCCGGTAGTATTACCTATCTATGTGAGTTTACCTTATTCTTCCCATGAATTATGTGTGATTGTTGTTAGGCGATTTAGTTTGACTACTATGATTGCTTCACTTGATGCACTTTTGGGATGCTTTAATCTTGATGATTGGGTGTCTAATGGTTGAGATTATTGTTAATTTGCAGTGATGAAGGTGTCTGAAGGAAGAGAATGGTGAAGAGAGCGCTGTAACAGTCATGTTATATGGCCCGAACACCGATTATGTCATCAACCGTGAGTGGGAGTTGCAGGTTGGGTCCATCTTTGGTTTGCCTGAAACCGTTCCTAGTTGCTGTTGACATGAGTTGAACTTCAATTGATGACATTGTGCTTGTAAGGCTATGCGGGTCCATCCCTTTTATCTTTGGCGTTGGTATAGGTGACTTTAAGAGGCTGTTACTGCTGTAATCCAGCTTATTTCTGAGCCATTTTGTCTCAAATCGTCTTCTGTCAAAATTTAGTCACTTTTCTCGTTTGCTCATTGCTATAAGTTCAATCATTTCAACCTGGTTTTTTGGTACTACTTGTCTCTTAAATTTCCATCCTATGTTTGGACAACTGCTTTGATAGTCGGTGTTGGTGTTCTGAACATTTTGGTGAATGTTTCTAGCTTATGTTTGCTTTGTTTCAATGGCATAGATAAGCTACTTTGTTAGTGGAAGCTGCAGAAATGAGCAATACAAATGCTCAATATGACTTGGGTTATCAGTTGAGATTAAAGGTTAGAAATCTAGATACTTATTCTGCAAATTATGCTAGCTAGATATCATTTACTGAAAGATTTGCTACTAGAATGTTGTATTTATATCAAATAGTAAGCAAAAAATCTAAAGTTTTGTTAGATACCAATTACTTCCGTGAATGTTTCCTTCAGAGTTTCACTTGATGATTAAAGGTGTCAACTGATAACTTTATTACACTTAGAAAAAAGGAGGATCTTGATGAAGTTTCTCTATCATAAACCATCCAACTGACATCCTTTTCTTTATTCCAACTCCCTCTAATTTGAACTGTATTTGCACTGAACCCAACTGCAGAGATTCATGTACCTTCAAGTATTGGTTTTCTTGTTCGATCAATAAATTTCTAGTTATCTTCTACTTCACTTATCTGCCTATCATTCATGATATATCTCACTTCACACTATTTTAATTTGGACATGTGTAGACAGTATTATTATCACAAACCTTCGGGACGTCGATTCAAATCCAAAGTTGAAGTGATTAACTTCATGATAAATAGCGTTTGTTCGCTTCGTCTAAAGAGGAATATTAGCAAGACTAAAGCAATCACATTAGCATGCTCCTCCTCTTCAACCCCACCAAAAAGGATCGAATGAAAGAGAAATGAAAACAAAAATGACAATATTGAGTCGTTAATGTCATCCAACTCTTCTTCCACAGCAAAGTCAATGGGAAGAGAGAGAAACTAGAAGAAACCCAGTTGGTAATTATCGATCTCATTGACCTACACATATACGTATTATTTAAAAGAGATTGATTCAGCAATAACAAGTTACTCACTCAATTACTTCTTTCTTTTGGTGGAAGTACTACATGATGCAATAGTTACACAGAAAGAAATTAACATTGCAAACATTGTTTTTCCTCAATTAGGGAATATCTCTTAATCATATGGATCCAATTGATGATTATAATAAGAGCAACGAACAAGTTGACACAACTCATATTGATCCATATCACTTACAACACTCTCTTCCTTCTTGTCATTCTTTGTCTTCAGATCATGAGTTGTGACAACTTGTTCGTTGCTCTTATTATAATCATCAATTGGATCATTATGAGTAAGATATATTCCCTATTTGAGGAACAACAATGTTGCCATGTTAATTTCTTTCTGTGTAACTATTGCATCATGTAGTACTTCCACCAAAAGAAAGAAGTAATTGAGTGAGTAACTTTTTATTGTTGAATCAATCTCTTTTAAATAATACAGATATATGTAGGTCAATGAGATCGATTTTACCAACTAGGTTTCTTCTAGTTTCTCTCTTCCCATCGACTCTGTTGTGGAAGAAGAGTTGGATGACATTGACGACTCAATATGTCATTTTTGTTTTTGTTTCTCTTTCATTCCATCCTTTTTGGTGGGGTTGAAGAGGAGGAGCATGCTAATGTGATTTCTTTAGTCTTGCTAATACTCCTCTTTAGACGAAGCGAACAAATACTATTTATCATGAAGTCAATCACTTCAATTTTGGATTTGAACCGACCTCCCGAAGGTTTGTGATAATAATACTGTCTGCACATGCAAATTAAAATAGTGTGAAGTGAGATATACCACGAAACATAGGCAGATAAGTGAAGTAGAAGATAACTAGAAATTTATTGATCGAACAAGAAAACCAAGTTACTTGAAGCTACAAGAATCTCTGGATTTGGGTTAAGTTCAAATACAATTCAAATTAGAGGGAGTTGGAATAAAGGGATATCGGTTGGGTGGTTTATGATAGAAAAACTTCATCAAGATGCTCCTTTTTTCTAAGTGTAATAAAGTTATCAGTTGACACATTTAATCAACAAGTGGAACTCTGAAGTAAACATTCACGGAAGGTATCGGTATCTAGCAAAACTTTAGTTTTTTTGCTTGCTATTTGATATAAATACAACATTCAAGTAGCAAATCTTTCAGTAAATGATATCTAGCTAGCATTATTTGCAGAATAGGTATCTAGATTTCTAACCTTTAATCTCAATTGATAAGCAAAGTCATATTGAGCATTTGTATTGCTCATTTCTGCAGCTTCCACTAACAAAGCAGTTTCTCTATGCCATTGAAACAAAGCAAACACAAGCCGGAAACATTCACCAAAATGTTCAAAACACCAACACCAACTATCAAAGCAGTTCTCCAAACATAGGATGGAAATTTTAAGAGACAAGTGGTAACAAAGAACCAGGTTGAAATGATTGAACTAATAGCAATTAGCAAATGAGAAAATTGACTAAATTTTGACAGAAGACGATTTGAGACAAAATGGCTAAAAAATAAGCAGTATTACAACAGTAACAACCTCTTAAAATCACCTAGAACAACGCCAAAGAAAAAAGGGGTGGACTCACAGAGCCTTAAAAGCAGTGTGAGATGATTTTTGTTTACATGAGGAGTGTGAGATTGGAGACGATGGAGAGCGGAAAAATTCACAACGAGATTTTTCGTGCACCGTCTCAGCATCTTTTGCCCACGGGAGAGTCTCGAAGCGCGATTGTGGCGTAACGAGATGGCTCGTCACCGGCGGAGAATAGGAAACGAGGTTCTTCTCTTGGATTGTTAAGCGTCAGCCTAGGTTTATTGAAATTGGTCTAATTTGATATATATGATTATATGAAGAAGAGAACAAAAATATTAGATTAGAAAATATAGATATTAAAATTAATACAACAAGAGCACCCTCTCTGTTACTGCTTTCACCCATTGTCACCGGGAGTCAACCACCGATCACCAACAACAACAGTGAATTTAAACAATGACGACGAAGAGAAATGAAAAATAGCGGCGGCGGCGGCAGAGAAAAAAGGAAAAGGATTTTAGGGTTGAAGGAAGATGGAGTGAGGCGGTTTGCTAGGGTGTGTATTTATTATTTTTACGAAGGACAATTTAGTAATTTGAACTCTTACTTTAAAGCAAATATAGTATAACAAAGGTGTCATTTAGTCTTGTCGTTTCTCTAACGTGGTTGAGCTCGTTTGAGCACTGAGCGGTTGAACCTACAAATCCAACCTTTATGTTGTAGGTGATTTTATGGGTGAATGTGAGTTGTAAAATAATAGATCCAGTAGAAGTGACTGAGTGCGGGTGTACTGTGGTGGACCCACGACCAACCCAACATTTTAACCCAAAACTAGCAAAACTCTTGCACATCCTACATACGTAACCAAAAAATAAAACCCACAAAAGTCATAACAAGTTTCCCTTATCTAAGATCTCCAATATCTTTGTTGATCTTCCTTCCCATTTTGAATGATATATTTTCAATATCAAAGTTCAATTTTAGTTTCAATGGCTGGAAACAATACATACATGATACATTGCACTGTGATTTCTCTGCATCTCAATTCAAAGTGCTGTAAACTTAGTTTTCTGCTTTTGCAAAAAAGGATAAATAATGACAGCTTTGTGAACATTATTATATTGTGTTGTAAACCTAATTTTTCTGCTTTTATCGAATAACAAACAATCATCGAACGATAGTTTTGCTCGTACGATATCTACATTGTCACTACTGTTTCTATTAATCTCAACTCAAATTGTCACAACTGTTAATGAACATTATTAGATAGATTGTGTTAACATTGGTGACTCGTCCTAGGGCCCTAATTCATTACAGAATAAAGAAATTGTATTTTACGACAAGCTCTTTTGCTTATTAAAACCATGTATATGTTCAGTTGCTCACCCATACTTTGCGGGCTTCTGAAGTGGAGTGCCCGATCCCAACGTTTGGTAAAAACGAGTCGGGCCTATCTCCTCGATGGAAGGAACTTAATTGGGCTAAGAGCCCATCACGACCCAATCGGAAAACTGAGCATCCAGACTTAGATCACCTAATTAGCATGAACTGCTCCGGAACACCCGCGCTAGTTCATCAAAACGCGGTTTTCTATAAAACATTTCAAATTCCCGAATTTTATATTAGTAGAGCGTGAATTCTAGAATTAAGAGCGCGGATCCCACCTGTCTTGTTAGCGACGATTCTGGTAAATCGGCAAACATGGATTATTTTTCTATGAAAGTAGCAGAGGAAGAAGACAAGTACATCCTCCCGCCGAAGAGTGTTGTTGTTTCACAATACATTGAAGACTCATCATATCTGGACTGCGTTCGTTGGGATTCCCCAGTTGATCAATCTAACGGAGCAAATTTTGTCGTCGCTGCTGGCTGGAAATCTTGAGTCCAGTCTCTGTTTGTCTCTCTAGCCGTGTTTCCTAGAGGAATTAGGGAAGGTGAAGAAAAGGCAACAAGGAGAGTAGTTGATACATGATTCCGATGGTGACTCCTACAAAGAGCCAGGATGAACTAGCTTCCACGGTCGCGGTTGTGGCGGAGGAACAGTGACGACAACGTTAGGCTGTTAAAGGGAGCTAAAGCGGTGGAGGAAGGGAGTCACGGGTTGGAAATTGAAGAGGAATCCAAGGGCTGGTGGTTAATTAGGGAGAGAGACTGAACAGCGGCAGTAAACGTAGGTGAATCAAAAGCGGAGAAATCAATAATGGCGGTGGAGGGATGATGGTATCGACGACGGTGGGAGAGGAGCTAAAAGAGAGAGAATTGTTCTATTTTAAAGAGATTTGATTTTCACTGTGAATGATTTTTTTATTGGAAGTGATAAGATGTTGTTAGGTGAACGATTGCCCCCGGTGTGATTATTTTATTATTATTAGTTATTACTATAATATTATTAATCAATTAATAGTTATAAGTGTTTTTTCCTCCGAATATAAATAGCTAGGTTCTTTGAAATTATTAATATTTTGCAATAATTTTATTTCAAAATAAATAATAAAAAATTACATTTAATATTAACCCTCTGTTCATGCTCTCGAAATTGAACTATTGAAAATTTGACGTTTTGACGCTCTCGCTCTACGCTCTGATTACCTAAATCTAGACCCACCAGAAAAAAAATTCGTTTCTTTCTTTCACATTCTCGTGCTGCCTGCCTGGTTTAACTGGAACGAAATGAATCAATCATGCCCACCCTCCTGCAAAATTGGGAAGTTCCCTCGAACAAGGCACCCGCAAGAAAGCTGACCGTTGTAAAAAGACGGAAAATGGGAGCTCCAGAGAATATTTGTACCACCATGGAAGTCGTCGACCGCGAAGCTCGAGCCAATAGTTGTTGCGGCTCAGACGAGATTTCGTCTTCTTCTTGAACTGTCGACCCCTAGATCAGCATCGCCGATACCTCTCCTCGCGTCATGTGCGTTCCTTTTCCCTTCCCCTGCCCGTTGTGTGGAAATAAATTTTATTCTAGCTTTAGATTGAATTCGGCGACTCCGAGCGCGCTTGGTGTGTGTTGTTTTTGTTTGCCGAAAAAATGTTTGAGAGTGTCGTCGTTCTATGAGGTGCACTGTACCTAATTATGGCTCGTTTAATTATGTTCCGAGTACGCTGAAATTTGCGAGAAGAAGAAAGAACACCACAGCTATTGTTTCCCCTGACTATGGAGCTCGAGCTATCTTTTTTTCTTCTTCTGATTGTTACTCTTTCTTTGGAGGTTGGCAGCGGATTATGCAAGGATTTATTTAAGAAATGGTTCGAATTGGAAGAATCGTGCGTCACAGTTGAGAGAGTTTTCGGCGGTATTGCCAATATGTGTGATTATACCTTATTCTTCCCATGGATTCTGTGGGATTGTTATTTGGCGATTTAGTTTGACTACTATGATTGCTTCACTTGATGCACTTTTGGGATGCTTTAATGTTGATGATTGGCTGTCTAATGGTTGTTATTGTTAATACCGCAGTGCTGAAGATGTTTGTAAAGGAAGAGAATGGTGAAGAGAGCGTTGTAACAGTCAGGTTATATGGCCCAAACACCGATTATATCATCAACCGTGAGCGCGAGTTGCAGGTTGGGTCCATCTTTGGTTTGCCTGAACCCGTTCCTTGTTGCTGCTTACATGGGTTGAACTTCAATTGATGAAACATATGTGAACATATCTTGGTTAATGGCTTTGCCTAGATTTACTCAATTAGTCGAATGGCCTTGCCTAGAACAAGACTTACATTGATGATTAGCATAGTGATTAGTTTTAACATTGGTCTATAACTAGGTGAGATGTGGCAATTCTTTTAGTTAAGCTGCAATGGGTTCTTCTACAGCAGTTACTGTTACAAGGTTGCTTACCACATACTATGTTCAGGCTATCAAATACCTATCGACTGCAGGATTTGGTGCCAAATTGCTTGGAGTATTTGGGAATGGTATGGTGCAGTCCTTTATCAACGCACGTACTCTAACTCCAGTATGTAAGGAATATTGAATCATGCACTTTAAATGTTGATCTAATATGAGTGAAATAAACTTCTGCTACTTAGTTATTAGTTTCTTAAATAGAATTGATTGTTCTGCTAAGTAATTGATCTTGTATGTTAAAGAAGAAAATTGATCTTGTATGCTCTTGAACAACTTCACAGTTATAATCTCACCCAACAGTAAATTGTCGAGGAGGCTTTGGCCAAGGTGAAGGTTACGGATTTCTTTTTAGGCTATGACCTGTAATGTGCAGCTTTAATTTTTTTATTATTTGGTTTTGTTTCTATATCTTTGCAGACATGAGGGTGCCAAAGCTGGCTGCTAAAATTGCAAAGGAACTCTGTAGGTTTCATGCGGTCGAAATTCCAGGGTCCAAGGAACCTCAGTTATGGAATGAGATATTCAACTTCTATGAGAGTGGTACTATGACCTGTAATGTGCAGCTTTTATTTTTTTCATTATTTGGTTTTGTTTCTATATCTTTGCAGACATGAGGGTGCCAAAGCTGGCTGCTGAAATTGCAAAGGAACTCCCTAGGTTTCATGCGGTCGAAATTCCAAGGTCCAAGGAACCTCAGTTATGGAATGAAATATTCAAGTTCTATGAGAGTGGTACTATGTGGACATCTATATTCAATATTATTATTGGAAGAAGATAAATTGGCTGCAAATATTTCCCAACTTCATTAGTTTGTTTTTAGTTACACCTTTTTCTTATTTAATTACCATTTTATGTTCCAGTCTCAGGTCTGCAATTTGATGATGCTGAGAAACAAAGAACACATCAGACAATATCCTTTAAAGAACTTGATGGTGAAGTCATTGAAATCAAGGTAATTTTTGTTGCTAGTGTGACTATGGATTGGGGGGTTGTAGAGTGTCCTATTTTTCCGGTTGGATGTTATAGGGTTGTATTGTAGTTAGAGGTGGCAATTGGGATCGAAATCCATGAATCCAATCCAATCCATCCACCAAATTATCCACCTAATCCAATCCATTTAAATCCAATCCATTTGATCCAAATCCAATTGGATTGGTGGATTCATGGATCAATCCATGAATCCAAATGGCAAATGGCAAATTACGATTTGGTACCTATATTTCTTATATTTTACATTTTGGTACCTAAAATTGATATTTTTATACAAAAAATATCATTGAAAAATTACATTTTGGTACCTAAAATTTTTCACTATGACATTTTAGTACCAAAACTTTTCAAATTCTACATTTTGGTCCAAACCTTAGATGTCATTTGGATTCATGGATCAATCCACCAATCCATTTGATCCAATCCATGAATCTACCAATCCATTGGATCCAATCCATTTGATCCATGGATCCACCAATCCGATCCAATTGCCACCTCTAATTGTAGTCTATTGATCCCTTATTTATGTACTGAATGTAATTGTCGGTCTGCCGAAAACAAAACAGTCCAATGTTTGCGCTTTCTTTCATACCACCAATCCAAATTTTGGGTGGACTTCTCATTTTTAATTTTTTTTTCTTTCACAACCAAACAAGAATTGACAGACCGCTTAAATTCTCGAGTGGTTTTTGCTCATAATGACCTACTTTCTGGGAACCTGATGGCTAATGATGATGAAGGTATGTGCCATCAAAGATGGTTTGCCTTTCCGTGACTAGTTACTTCAGATAATGTATTGCGATACAGTCCTTCCCCCTTAGTGCTTCTGTTAACTATTGATCATACAGTTACGGAGGTTTCGACATTGGGAATCACTTCAACGAGTATGTAGGCTATGATTGCGATTACTCATTGTACGTCTTTTTCATCTCCTTACCACCTTGCCCTAATACCAACAGTGATATTGAAAAAAAAAATCAGCCTTTCTGATCTTTTTAAATTATGGTGAATATCCAGGTATCCTAGTAAAGAAGAACAAAGATCATATCTTCATGCATTACTTACAACTTGATAAGCCTGATGAGGTAATTCTTGGATAAATTTGACATCTGAAATCATTGTAATAATTCTTATGAAGCAAGAATCTGAACACTTGTTGAAGCAAAACAGGTATCCTCCAAGGAGCTTGAAGTGCTTTACATAGAGTCAAACGCGTTCATGCTAGCTTCACACATTGTCTGGGCCCTCTGGGCGCTAATCCAAGTGAGCTTCTGATGGATGACAAACTACTTGAATTCTGCAACTCTCTGACCCATAATACTAAGTAGCAGTTCTCTTGTTCTGTTTCTATCTTTCCCTGCAGGCGACGATGCCGCCCATCAATTTCGATTACCTAGGTTACTTCTTCCTGTGCTACAACAAGTACATATCAAAGAAGGAAACAAACTGTTTGTTGGCCCTAGCATACCTCTCAGGATTGCACAAAGCCTAGTTTCTTGTTTTGCTTGCCATTTCTCTTTGTACTCTAACTGTCTTACAGAATGCTAGTTAAGGAGGGAAGTATGGTCTGTGTGCTTCCACAGTTAGATTGTTTTTGTAAAATATTAAATTTTGTAGCTTTTCAAAGGAACTTGAAAGGCAAGGCAGTTTCATTATATTGTGCTCAACGTTTGGTTTTGCCTCCCTGTTGTTGCTAAGCTCTCAGACTATGTTGTTGTAATAAATTAAAAATAGTTATGTATGATCCATTTTTCCCAAAAACAAGCAAAATTAAGAAGTTGAATTAGAGTGGACAACCATGCAAAATTGTCCTCATCGCCTGCGAGGAAATCCTTCCGTATTGCCGTCTGAATGACCTTTTGTGCAACATCACAAAATAAAATATTAGAAAAGGAATGAGTCAAACAACAACAAATAACATCTTGGAGAGCTAAGAGTTCAATAAAAAATGGGTCAGAGATATCTTGACCACTCGCAATGTGAATAATGAAAGAATGAAATTGAGGACAACTAGAAAGGAAATTAAATTAATTATACAGTTTTAGCTTACCGTAACGTAAATCTCATTTGACTTCTTTTTAGCTTACCGTAACGCATATCTCACTCCCACTTGTAACGTATCGCACACACTGTATAATGCTACTCCTCGACGACAGCCACATGAACCATGGTCGCACAGTCTGACTCATTGAAAGAAATCTAATACTCTCTCTATATATACATATACTTTTTTTCGCCAAATATGAAATCACTATGAAGATTTGTTAAGAAACCTCAAATTTAAGGTAATTTATTTATTAAAATGTTGTTTGTAAATTTTCCACCCTACCGTTCAAACTATATATTGACAGTTATATTATAACTCATTTCAATTTTCTTCAACCATCATATCGCTACGTGAGACGGTGCCTCATTGTTGCTCTATAAAACCCACATTCGCTGCCTATTCACAAACCGCGCCACATAATCTACAAGATATATAAAGGCAAAACATGGTTTGGAATTTTCCCGTTTCAAATTTTGTGACCTGAGAGTAATTCTAGGAAGGTCATTTTTGTCATTGCACACAGTTCATCTTTATATATTAAAAATGTTATCATTGGAGTTTGAACCTTGGTCACTTAAATGAAGAAAGAGCAATATAACCAACTATTCTAAATTGTCTTATTGTTATTTCCTTGATTAAACTCTAGAAATATTTTCGGTGATGATGCTTCTATTTTATATTTTATCTTAAGTGATTTATATTTTATAGAAAGAGATAGTTCTGAAATCGGAACTCAAGTAACATTGATTCAAACATTAATATTAAATTATATATGAAGTTTAGTTTAGACAAATTACAGAAGTGTAACCAATACATGGGCCTTTGTGAAGAGTATATTCATTTTTAATGTCAAATATACACATAATATAATGATAAAATTGGAAATGAGAGTCTCATTTCAAATTTTGTGGTCTTAGAGTGATCCTATGAATCTCTTTTTTGTTGTTGCGCTCAATTTATCTTTATATTATGTGTAGATTGTCATAAAAAATTACTATGCTTGTCACAAAGGTCCATGTTTTGGCTACACGTATGTATTTTCTCTAAACATAACTATACATACAATTTAATATTTAATGTAAAATTAATATTAGTTGAGTTCCTGTTTCACAATTAATCACTTTGTGTAAGATATAATAATTTCAAGTAAAATATCTTTCCTACTTGGTTGAAGAAGCGCTTTCTATAAGATACATTTAATATTTTAAGATTTTTCATTTCAAATATCGTGAATTGAGAGTGAAAGTTGAAAATTTAAGTTTGTCATCACAATTATTTATTTACTTCATATAAAGAAGTATCAATATCAAGATTTGATCCATAGTCTCTTCTAACAAAAACAATAATCACAACCAATTACGCTAAACAAATTTGTTCTATTTTCTTAAATTATAAACATACACTAAGCGAAGATTTGAAAAGCATATGAGTTTTCCATCACGGTCATCTAGCCTATTAAATCTTCCAAAAAGCAAAGCTTAATACGTGATTTATAATTTTTTAGAGCTAATACCACTACAACACCCGAACTATGAAGAAAATGTCATATGTGTCCTAATTTATTCAATATTTCATTTGTGTCCTGAACTATTTTTCCATTAATTAGTATTGACCAATGTTGCTCGTTAGTATTTAATCGAAAATCCAGTCAGCATCTGACGTGGAATTTTTTAATCTGAATTTATATTTTTTCACAAAAAAATAACTAAATAAAATAAAAGGAAAATAACCCCTCACCCACCCACCCACCCATCTCCGCGTCGTGACATCTCCTCCCCCGAATTGAATTCAGACCACGATAACCTCTCCTCCTCATTGCCGCCGACTTCACTAGAGCTCGTCGTCGATCACTCCTTCCCCCAGTCGTTCTTTTCCTCTTCCACCAGTACCAAAAAACCAAGAATGGAGATTAATCCCATCTGTCAGACTGTCACTCCTTCCCCCTTGTTCTTTTCCTCTTCCACCAATACCCAAAAAATCAACGTTCACCCTCCTCCCACGTTTGCCTTATCCAAACTCTCCCCAGAAATCCGGTGGCGGTTAGCCTCTTACAGCACCAGTCCAGCCTCCGCTCAACAACGACATCACCACCATCACCGAAAATTTCTTGGCCACCGAATCTGAGAATGAGGTTGTCGGCTCGGATTCTGATCTGAAGGCGGTGGAGGCGTTGTAGCTGTAGAGCTTGCCTATGAGAGTGCGGAAGGCGAGGAAAAAGAATTGTGAGACATTTGGAGTGTGGGAGCAGAAGATGGATTTGAGAGAGGAGCAGGGGGCGGCGGCAGTGATTGACATCAGCAAGGATTCGAGAGATTGTCGAGTCCTTCCAACGAGGATCCCAAATCCTCCATTGCATTGGCTAGAAGAAGAGAGCGCTTCCGGATACCCATCGTAAACCTAATTCTGCCGCAGATGAAGAATCCGATGGTGGCACAATGGCGGCGATGAGGGGGAGATAAAGGGTCGCTTACAATCACAGTAGAGATGAGAAGGAATTAGATTTTGTTTTCATTTTGTTATTTGTTTTTATTTTTGTTAAATTAAATTAAACCTAATCTGACGTGTCTGGGGACATGACATTTATGTGCCCACCACGTTTTTGCCATATCACCAATAGCAATGCATTGCCTGTTGCTATCCTGTCCCTGGAACCATCCCAGAACGATCAGTGGCCGAGACCAACTTAGATACAACCTGCACCAATTCAGACGACTGGGTGGCTACAGCATGCACACCCCGACCTGGTGCTCGTCTCGATCTCCTGGTATTTCCCCAATAATATCCCTGCTTTGCCATCTCTTCAAAGAGTTGATTCAACTGCGGCGGCGTCTTGGTTAGCATATTCCCGCCGCAAACCGAATCAATCAGCTGCTTGTCTTCTGGGAAGAGGGCGTGGTAGAAGGTTCCCACCTTGAAGGTTTCAGTGAAACCATGACTGGGAAACTTGAGGAAAAGACTGGTGTGTCTTGCCCAAGCATCCCAAATGGTTTCATCCTCCTCCTGGGCAAAGTGGGTGATCTGCTTTTGCAGGGCCGCCGTCTTTGACGGAGGATGATAGCAGGTAATGAACTTGTCCGCCAGGTTGGCGAACGTGGTGATCGATCCCCGGAGGCCGAGTGTCCAACCACTCCTTGGCATGCCCCTCCAAAGTGAATGTGAAGTATCTCAGCTGGATGGCATCGGCTGGGACCCAATTTATCTTGATCCCATCGATGAGATCGTGGAATCGCCGCAGATGCGACCTGGGACCCCCCCCCCCTCTTTTCCACGAAATACTACCAAGCCGCGCAGCATGGTGATGATAGAGGTGCTCACCTCAAAGTTATTGGCTGGAACTTGAGGGTGCTGGATGGGAGAACTCATGTCCGCGGCTGTGGCAGTCCAGTAATATCCCATGGCGTGCTTATCGGTGACAACCACATTATTGTTTTGTGGCACACCCATATCTTCCTCTTGGTTGATGTGCAGACGTGCTAGAGCCTCCTCCGCAGCCAGTCACGCCTTTAAAGCTTGCTTGAAGTTCTTGCAAGTCTGTTCAAGCTCTTGGTCTAACGGCAGTAGTTCTCCTGACTGGCTACGGGTCATGCACTACCTGCACACATAATGCAAACACAACCCGTGAAGGCACAAAGGTGGAAGAGAGAAAATGCAGTAAAGAAAAAGCTAGAGTAACAGACTTTCACGTTTCTACAATAACCTAGGGTTCCCCTGCAACGACGCCAAAAACTTGACACGCTATTACACAACACCAAACTACGACCAAGTGTAATCGCAGTCCGTAAATGCAGAATAGTGGTAAGTTTAATTTATAAACCCGGGGTCTAGATCTACTGCCTACTCCGTGATTATCTATTATCTAGCGAGACTAAGCTGAGTGAATGTGATTTTAAGCTAAAGCAGTAAGAAAGCAAGAAATTGTCGAAGTTCTTAAGCAAGGGAAGAGTCACTCGGGAATGAATCCCCCTAGCTCCTTAGTTAGGTCAAAGTTGTACTTCCCTTTGGTTGATTCGTTGTTGATTAAACTGCGGAAGATCCTAAATTAGCTTGAAATCTCCTAAGCTGACTAAGCCCTCTTAAGCAGAATACCCGACAAGCGACTAGCCTTCACCGGAATAGACTGTTAAGGCGATTCACACAGATCTTCACTACTAGAATGAATTCCAGCACAAAGCAATGAATTGACTAAATCTCGTATAATCAATTCACTACTACCGATTGAAGAAGCTATAACAACCTAATCAGATTCTATCTATCTCAAGTTGCAGCAGAAATCGAGAAAAGTTGATCAGGCTTCAATTGACTCAATAAACACACTTCAATCGATTATAATCAATCAGTATCTCAAACCACAAGTCATTACAAACATGATCCCTAACACATGGAACTAGGGCTCTTCATACCCGAGTGAGAGAGAGTTCTACTCCATAGAGAGAGAGATAGAGGAA